GGCTTTAGGGCTTAGGGTTTGAAGGGGATTTGACGGGCTCATGGTTGTTGTACCGGAAATCCAAGCCGATTCGGCACATTCTATGTAATAGGGCTTCAACAACTGGTATCTGCTTCATTGCACACCTAAAACAACCCTTTCTTCACATACTCCTTTGTGTCGAATAAGCTTCTTCTCGAACCTAATTATGTTTGACAGGCATGGTACTGTCGCTCTGATACTGGATAACACATTGCATAAGCCTGCAGCCTCAACCCAAAACCCTAAACCCTAAACATCAACTGGACGGCAGGGAAAACGTGAAGCAGCGAACTAGGTTTAGGGTTCAGGGGAGGATGTAAGCTACTGTAGGGGCCTTCACGATTAGAATAGGGTTTGGGGGGTATATTCTACGACAATTACTACAAGCGACCCGTATTGGTAATTATTTAGGCCCCTATACTAGTGTTGTAGAGTTTTCTTCCTCAGGCGTGAAGATCTCAAGCTTTGCACCTTGTTGCGCTCGCTCGGACTTGCAGCTACGAGCGCATCCACATCTGCATCCATAGCAAACTGGCAGAGGTCCTTGTGCTGCTGAGGCCCAATCTATGGCTTGCCTGTAGAAGCCCTGTGCTGGGGCCAAGATTGTCTGTGTGCGCACTGCTCCACACGACAGTGGATTCCTCCAAGCCCTAAAACTCTAGGGCCCAAATAAGTTCAATCCCAGTTATGATCCAAATTCCAAACAGGGTTAGGGTCAGGTGACTCTTGTTCCTGGCTAAGCTTGAGTGAAGGCAGCTGTGACATCAGTGGCGTCTCGGCTTCCGACTTCGCCAACACCGCCTGGTCAGCATGATGCAAGACAGATGACCCCTTGCCCGTCTTTTTGCACCAGCGTCTCAAACGACGGGATAGCAAGAACGGAGACTCATTGAATGCTGCCGGCGCCGCCAGAACGCAGGGAGTTACCCCCACGTTCAGGGAAGCAAGCTCTGTTCCAAGGCCTTCAAGCTGGAGCATGCATGCGGAAGCAACTGCTGATCCATCACACATATCAGACGTCGGCATCTTAGTCGTATTGATGGGGCCTGCTCGCAGGGAACTCGGTGGCTTCTGTTCAAATCCCGGTGTGCAATGGAGGCTCTAAGTGTTAAACCCCGAATCCATGCAAGCGCGACCCCTCACTCCAACTCGAAAATCGGAAAGTCTAAGTCAGCTCACATTACTTCCTTCGGAAAGGAGCCGAACGGACAAGTGCGCGGAAATGCCCGCGCTTGAAAATCCCGGCTGCGATACGGGTTCCTTCGGAAACGCAGCTTTCTTGAAATCTGGAAAGTTGAGACTCCATCTTCAACTAATATAGGGGCCTTAATTAATAATTGCAATAGGGTTTTGGGGTCCATTATACTATAACCATAGCAACGAAAAACCAAGATAGTATTGGCAATTATTTAGGCCCCTATATTACCGGAAACGCCATCTGAGATTTCAGGGCCTCCGTGCTTCGATGATTAGTTCCCAGTCCCAAGTTCTTTCCCCAAGGCTTTGAGAGTCCAGGACATGCTCCACGACGGTTTAGGGTTTAGGGTTTAGGGCGTAGGGCTAAGGGTTTAGGGTTTAGGGTGTAGGGTTTACTACTACCACAGCGTACAAAAGGAATTGGACAGCATTGTAAAGGATGTCAGCACAATGGCAATGGCACGACGAAGACAGAACATCAGGACAGTCCGGAATCTCAGATGAAGTATGCCATAGGTGAATCTGGCACGACTCAAAAATCGGAAGAACATGCAGAACCATCCACGACATGTGGCATGGATGTTTCTGGTAAGGGCCAACATCAAATCGTCGGCAACCACGTGTGTGGCTCCCGGGCAGCCCCCAACAGAAGCGATGTGCTTAACGGACACGAGTTGGACATCTTAGGGTCTTAGGAATTCCCCCAAGCCCTATTCTTGTATTTTTTGGCCCCTACATTAGGGTTGCGGGTCATGTAGCCGCCATGAGTTAAACACGTGGCTTCCTCGGGGACGCACCCAAGCTGATCTCCACGAAAGCCTGTACAAGATCGTACGTTCACGACCATCCGACGGCATAAACTCAAAGGTTCTACGATGTGACGAAAGCAGGTGAAATGGTACTGGCGGTGGTTTTGATGTGCCGGAACCTGATCGGTGTTTTGAGGGTTCAAGAAGGGCCTAATTAAACATTATGGTTTAGGGTTTGGGGTAGCAGAAAGTGTGACGACTTACGGAACCCTTCTTTCGCATCTGCTACTCCACCTGAAGCACGACTTTCTCCTATTAAGACTTGTGAGAATGCGCATGCCATGCCTCACGCCTTTACATTCGAGAGCATCGGGCTCTCCCCTTCCAGTTGGGGTCGAGAAATCTAGGCGCTTCAGTATTGCCTGAACCCTGCATGCCCAGCCCCAGAACCCTAAACCCTAGGCCCAAAACTCTGAACCCTAAGCCTGAAACCCAAAGCCCTCAACTCTAAACCCTAAACCGTAACCCTCAAGACCCCAAACGAAACCTTTGGACCCCGAATTTCCAAACCCGAAGCCCTGAACCTAGCGCCTCTAGACCTGGACCCCCACTTCGCAAGGTCCTAAAGATACCTTCCACAAGCTCTATATCTTCCGCACCACCTTCGTACCTACTTTATGCTACGGTCTGGACGCCCTGACCCTCACCGACAGAAACCTTAGGCAGATCGACGCTTGGTATCATAAGTTCTTACGCCGCATCCTTAAC